ATTTTGCACATCATCTGCTAGATGGGTAAGGTAATGCATATTCATTATTTGACATTGTTTTCCATAATAGTATCTAGCTAACTGGACAAAATGTTGTAAATATTTTTTAGCTTGAGTATTGAATTTTAAAGCTAAGTTATTTGAGCATAATATTCTGCAAGCAACGTGAAATAAAAGAAAATGATTATATAATTTTTTTGGTAAAATGTTTTTTAGAACTATTGGACCACAATATAATAAGAAAAATCTAAACTCAGTTGCTTTCCATTTTGCAACTTCAAATACAGATCGGGTAGAACGTTGAAAATCTGCAGATATTTGAGAATTTAGTTGCATTAATCGTTCCGAAAGATGCATTTTATTATTATAACTTAATTTTGTTGACAAATTTCCCTTCAACCAAAACTCCATAAGCATTTTTTTCATTATGCCTAAGCAGCAAAGATGCATAAAATCTAAAACAAAGTGACATATCATATCAATTTTCGGATTTATAAGTGTCAAAGGTGATAATCCAGTATGGTGTTCAGAGTTTTGTTTTTCTCTGAAAGATTGGTCAGTTCTTTCCTTGCAAATGTTGCTATAAATTGTTCTTTTTTCATATCGTGTTCCGCGCACGTCGCATCGCTCACATGCATAAAACCCCCCATGACTTTTTATACACTTAATAAATGATCGGGCAGGCCTGTCGCACACAAAACACATGATACAAACTTTAAATAATTTCCCATCTATTACTATGCCATTAAGCAGTAATTCATTTATTTCAACAATAAATTTATCAAAATACGCGATCAAATCATTAGGTTTTTGTTTTCCTGCATATACAGCTATCGGAAACGGTTTGTATATTTCTGGTACAAAATGTACTTGTCCTAATATTGGCCAGAACTGTTGCAAGCTTGAATTATACAGAGGAAGACCATCAATGTTTATTTTTAGATATAAAATCTCGGTTTTATGTAATTCAGAATTGACGGTTACTTCAAGATGTTTGGCGATACCAAAGTATACAAATTCTCCTACATTACATCCGTTATTATCATTAAATTTTATAATATTATATTCAGCAGATTTTGTTTTTAGAAATGTTTTTGCAGTTGCAGGTAAATGTGGAAGTAATCTTTTTTGAAGAATTTGAAGTAGTGAATCTAATTTTGTGTGCGGGATATTCGACTTAATCGCCCACTCTCGAAGTTGCACAATTTCGTCAAATTCTTCATCGTCACTTAACGAACTATAGTCGAAATCGTTTACTTCATCGATATTAGTTTCGTCGTTAGGGCTTACATAATTATCTTCAATGCTTTCGACTTCATCCTCGAATACGTCATTTAATTCTTCAAACTCAGTGAATGACTGTTCAAGCTCTCCGTCTGTATTATTTCTTTCTAAATTATTATTCTCCTGTTCCGGTAATGCATTTTCATTCGCAATAGTCCTAATGTTCATTTGTAAACTCTCTTGTTCTATTAACCTCGGCGAAATTGCATTATCTGTCGAAAAAAATTATTTGTTTTTATATATTTAAATAATTCTTTTTTCTTGTATATGTGTATAAATGAGTGTCTGCAGTATAATTGGTTCTCAATCTCAAACAGAAATATAATTAAAACATATGCTAAAAACATATCTGTCATATATGTAATATTACTATAATATTACTATAGATTGCTAATCATCAATGTATCTTTCTAATTTGCGGTATGCAGACTGAGAAAACGAGATAGAAAATACAATATATGTATATATGTATAGATGTAAAGTGCTTTGAACGTATATGCGCATATGTATTGACGTATAGAGGCAATAGAGGTTAATATAAAAAGTTTGGTTATAATATTAAAATTTACTGAATTAATATTATAATAAGAAAAAATATATAAATAATAGAAAAATTGACTTCCAAATGTTTTTATTCTACACACGAATGACACAAATGTAAATATACAATTTTATTAGATTTTATATGCGATATCGTATATCTGTCCAATAATATTTTCGGCAGCGTTTCAGCTAGCAATATAGTAGTATTACATATATGATATCTATATATCTATGTAAAGTATATTAATAGAAGAGCTGTAATACTGATTTTTATTTACGCGATTTTAAATAAATTAAAATAAAATTACATTTTTATTGCATACCTGCAATATTAAGAAATTTTTCTACATCAATTTGGCGGCGAACTTTACGATGTCTATCTACTCTTCGCCGTGTTAATTCTTGTTTTCTTCTTTTACTTTCCATGATTAATTACAATTATAAACCTTATATATCTTTTTAAGAAGAAAGTCAAACTCGACTAAAAACGCAATTTGCTTGTTTCGTCCAAGAACGTTTTAGTTTTTAGCGAAACAAAACACAATTACAAATAAATAGTGTTTCCATGATGACAACACGGGATGTGTGAGCGTATACTTCTTTCTAGAATAAACTATTTCGGAATTATAAATATTTCATCTTGCATTCGAATAAAATTCTTCAATTTTAAATCAAAATGTTTAAATATCTTGAAAGTAAAACCTATACTATATTAAAACTGACAATTTACAACGTTAAAAATATTACAAAATATATATGTATAATGTGTATGTTATGTAATCAATACATAGATTATGAAACAGATATAAAATATTATATTCAAAATGTTAATTAACTATTTTTTTTTTATTTTTTTTTATTTTTACTTTTTTTTAACCTAAATAAATATAGTCAAGGTTTTCACTGAAAATGTTAAATTTAATTTAATCGGTAAATAATACAAATATTTTTATATAACTAACCGAGAAATTTAACAGATGATACAAGCCAATGCGCTCGATGTTATGCGGAATAAATATATATATAAATATATATTTATATTTTTTTAGAAGTGTAAAATTTTTACACTTTATATTTCGAATTGAAATTTCAATTTGTAAATTTATATAGGATATGCTATACTTGCATCACATATACATGAGAATATCCATTTTTTCTTCCCAACTAATTTAGAAATATTGCGAAAAAAACACCTCGGCCAGGAGTCGAACCTGGAATCTCCCGCTTCCGTGCGATCGCCTTTTCCAATTCGGCCACCAAGATTTTTTTTTTCGCAATGTAATTTTTAATTTAGTTGGGAAAGGAAGATGAGTATTTTCATATATGTGATGCAAGAGTAACATTCTGTATAAATTTACGAATTAAAATTTCAATTTGAACAATTAATCATATAAGTGTAAAAATATGAATTACAAGCACATAAGGTATGCCTTAATCTAGCCTAGTCTGGCGCAAATCCGGCATTCCTTAGTAGGGCTTGCGTGCGTATTCCCTGATCAGGCGTAAATCAGGCTTTCCATAATAGGCGAAATTCAGACATTCCTTAGTAGGGCACAAGTCAGGCGTTCCTTAGTAGGGCGTGCCTGCGCGTTCCCTGATCAAGTGCAAATCGGGCTTTTCTTAATAGGGCGAAATTCAGGCATTCCTTAGTAGGGCACAAGTCAGGCGTTCCTTAGTAGGGCGTGCCTGCGCGTTCCATGATCAGGTGCAAGTCGGACTTTCCTTAATAGGGCGAAATTCAGGCATTCCTTAGTAAGGGACAAGTCAGGCGTTCCTTAGTAGGGCGTGCCTGCGCGTTCCCTGATCAGATTCAAGTCGGGCTATATCTTGGTAGGGCATGCCTAAGTTTTCCCTAATCAGGCCAGCATCAGGGATTCCTAAATAGGACATACCGGAATGCTCCCTGATCAGGGCCACATAATACGTCAGGTTTGCCGGATCCAATTTCTAGCCGGGATTGTGAGCGGAAATTTAAACAACGTCGATAACTCGTCGGGATCGGTTCCGCACAGACGTAGATTCCCAACGAGAAACTGGCGTCACGGAAGCGGGTTTGTGAGATCAAGCGAACCGAAAAAAAGAAGGATTTTTCCTCCACACGTGAGTGATAGGTCGAAATCGAAAACTCGAAGAGTTTTTGATAACGATATTATAAATTATCTCTTGTATTTCGCGCGATACTTTTAAATTTTATTAATATTCAAAAGAATTTCTTGAAACATTTTGTAGGATTTACCTAGGCATCCCAAAATAATTAATAACATTCAAATCGTGCTGAACGGCAATGACAGCGCGCCGGCGAAAAATTCTTCCGAATGTGGCGTGTGTAACGTGTCCGTTTCCTCGAAAACGGACGATAATGGAAATATCGTGACCGAGGTGCATCTCAGCATCGTCACGAACGCAAACTCAAATGTTAAAAACGACGAAGTTCCGGTGATCGATGGTTTTCGAGGTGTTGCTGAAGATGACGAGCAGCTAATTTTTCACCCGATTCACGCGCCGGATTTGCATCTGCCGCAAGAGAACATCCCACAGGTGACGAAACTTTTTTATTCTATTGTATGCGAGAGTTAATGTTGTTTTTAAATAGTCGATGTAAGTAATTGAAAAACTTGTATTTTTAATATCTACAATTTAGAGAGACAAAGTTTACACTCTTCTTTTGTATTGTGTAACAGATTCAATCTAATAATCAAGGATACGGGAATTCCTTGTATCAGCATCGGCGAACTTTTCAACGACCGCCGACGTATTGGAATTACCGTAACTACGAGGATCGCGGTAACGCGGGATTTCGAGGACGTAAGACCTGGACGCGAGAGAGACCCGTGGTGGACGACAAAATTGAACCTCCGCTCAGCAAGACCAAATTCAGTGACAATTGACTCGGCAAAATTGTCGTGGAACATCGAATCCATTTAATTGCGCAAAATCTTTGTCTCGTCACGTATTAAACGCTGCCATACAAAATAAACGTGTTTCGATATGTATATCGTGTCACAGAGTCGTTATACAACAAAATAAATAAAATCATATATAAAAGCACGTGTGTAACTTTACTTAATGCGCACACAAATACAATAAAATTTTTTTATATATTATACTTTAAAGTAACAAGCAAATAAACACGTGTAAAAATTAAATGCACAACATGTTGTTAAAAAAATTGCATTTGACCGCTCAAGTAAAACGCAATGATGTCAACGCAAGACGCTTCTCATTACAGATAGATAAAAGTAAGAAATTTTTTCTCGACGAGCAGAAAATTAAAAAAGTGTCAAATAATATTAACAATAATAAAATATTGTGTAGAAATCAAACAATCACAATAAAATATTATTGAGCATCAATAATATTTTATAGGAAAGAAATCCGTTAACTCTAATAGAGAAGAAATACTTGAGTATTCATTCGCGTAGTAATCTTTAATCTCATTGTTTCACAATTATGCGGACTCTGATGTCGGCAAGTTCGAATCGTTAAATTTCATCGCGATAAAACATCGTGTTATATAGCACACGGTAAACAGAAGTAAATTAATGGTTTGGAGAAAGGTAAACGTGCGCGATCAAGGATTTATTAATCGTGCACCTCGCGGAAGGAAACCTTCCCATTATCGTTAACACCGGTGATGGACGATTTACGGTTGACCTGCTTGCCATCTGGACCGGTCATGCTGGAGGAACTGGAACTGGAGAATACTCCGTAGCTGTTGCCAGACGGAGCGGGAAGTTCCTCCGCAAATCTGGACTGCAATCCCGGCGCGGCCTATAAAAAAAATTATTACTGATATAAGTTGTATATCAACAAAAAATAATTTTATCGACTGTGAGAGATAATAAATATTTAAAATAGTTTTATTAATTTTTATGTCGCGAAATATTTTAAGCAAAAACTTTGCATTTCGTCAAAATTATAAACTCACAGGACTGATCTGACCCATCTGGTAGCCACCGCCTGGACCTAAACCGATGCTGGCACTTGCAACCTGTGGCACGCCGCCGCCGTAACTTCCGCCGCCGTAACTTCCGCCGCCGTAACTAGCTTCGTTGGCCAAACGATTTTGGAGTTCCATGTTGCTGAATAACAAATTTCCGTTTATTTGCACTATAATTCACAAAACTCGTTGCCACAAGCAATGATCAAAAGCGGTCCAATTGATATCTTTCACAAAAAAAAAAAGATTACTCGTACGTTATCTCGTGCACATTTCTTGTTCTTATAATTAATGCGGGCCCAAGAATCAGATTTGGTGTATGAACAATAATATATTACGTGTGTGTGAAAAAAACCACAAGATCGTGAGGTCGATTACCTATTAGCAACACCCGCGTTGAATGAGTCGCCGCCAATTCTCGAAGGAAGTCCCATATTGTTCATATTCGCCGAAGCGTAAGTATAAGCGTAATTAGGAACATTTGATGCAAATATTCCTCCTCGGTTTGAAACCATAGATTTTGCGATTCTTGAAGCGTAATTATTCACAGGAAGAACCGTCACCGAAAGCAACAGCACAAGATTTCATGATGATTAATCGTAAATGGTGTGTTATTCTCATTACGTTAAGAAAAATCAAAATTTGCACAAACAAAATATATTATTTTTGAATGTAAAATTAGTTCCGTTTTGATGTGCCTAAGCGATGTACAGTGGTGATACATTGGACGGTATGGAAATGATTTTAGATTTCAAATTAGTGTTTATGAATATGAAAGACAATCGCGTAACAGGTTTGCTACAGAGTTCCCCGATGAATATTAAAATACGATTATTTAAGTTTAAATGACTTTGCGAAGACGCGTTGCAAGTTGCGTTTAAATCGAGTTTTTGCTTCAAAGACGTGAAAGATAAATAATTAACCACATTGTCGTGCAAAGATATTTCAAAGGACTTACGCCTGATGCTGAGCTTCTATTTGCGCCTGTATCTGTCTGAACATGTCGAAGGGATTGTTGTAAGGAAATTGAGGTTCTGGAAAAAAGAATTGTCCGGCCCCCGCGTTATTCCACGGATCTGCGAAAATTCGAGACATTGAATGAGATTAAAACAAAAATTTAATAATATCGACGATATTGCACAAAAGTCATGCAACATTTACATGCGATTACACTTGATTGTGTACAAATCTATGTGTATATTACGCAGTGTATCTTTCTAAGTATATGTGTACCTAAATAAATAAATAAACAAATATGCAAACCTACGCACAAATAAATAAACGTATGTGTAAATAAATAAATATAAATAAACATGTATTAAAAACTGTAACGTTTTTGGATGGAACATTTGTCTGACAAGACAGCATGCATCTGGACATCATCAGCTCGACTTTGTCCGAACGAGACACATAATGTTCAATGTCTCCTTCGCCTTTGATATCCAATTTGTTCTTTTGTTTTTTTTTTGTTCACGAACACAGAGAAACCACAGCATGCAACCCCGAGGATTCATTCATTATCCTCCAAAATCCTGAGTGCGTCTTCGTCCTTGGACTTTTTGGGTTTCATGCTCGTACCTATTCCGTTGTAACCGTATCCCATGTTCTGGTTCGGTGTGTTATCCTGAAATCCTCCTCGACTACCGATCAACGGCGATACCGCCCCGGGGAATCCTCCTGTGGAATACCCCGGATATCCTCCTGCAAAACTTCCAGCCGACGCGCCCGCGGACGCAAATCCTTGCCCGTTGCTCGTTCCGGTCCACGCATAGTTTGGGTTAGAACCTGGTATAGAGTTGAATCCGGGATAACCGTAGTAAGGATTGAAACCTGGGCCAAACGTTCCACCTGAGCTAAATGGTCTAGGGATGTCATTTTTTGACGATGGTCCAGGTTTTTTAGTGGACTCTTCGGGCTCATCATCGATATTCGAACGTGACAGAACGTCGACAGGTTTCTTTGGCTTGGACGTTGGTTTTGTGCTGTCTGTTGGAGTTGTAGTGCTGGGTTCGGGAGTTGTGGTGGCAGGAGTTGTTGGAGTGGTAGCGGAAGTTGTTGTTGGAGTGGTAGTTGGAGACGTCGCCTCTGTGGTGGTGGTGGCGGTGGTGGTGGTAGTGGTAGGTGCAGTAGTAGTTGTTTCGGTGGTTGGGGTAGTTGTGGGCGACGTTGAAGGTGGTGTCGTCGTGGGTGGTGATGTGGTTGTGGGATCTGTTGACTTAGGAGTCGTTGCTTGACTGGTAGTGGTAGGTTTGGTGGTAGTCTCACCATTCGAGTCGACTGCTCGCTTCAATCTGGGCGACGCGACAAGACGGGCCGTTGCTCCTCCATCTTTGGTGAGAAACGAGAAACAGAATAGCGACTCTTTATCAACGTTGCTTATTGAGATAACTTGAATGGTTGATGATTCTCAGCTACTGGTGTAAATGGCGTTGTTAGTCGCAGCGTGTTGCCTTGCGGCAACATTTCTTGATATTTCCAATCACCGCTCAAAAGTGTGTCAGAAATATTATCAATCACAATTACACACAATCACAATATACGTACATTATTATGCTTGATGAAACTACGAGTTTGTGTTCAGATGTGCATTATATAAAAGTGTTAAACAATACACATAATAAAGTCTAACACATTTTGACACGTTAATCACAATGTAAAACATAACACAACGTAATAATGTTTAATAAACCTAATAGGAGTTTTACGTAATAGGGTTTATAATTTCGTAACATTTTAACACGTTCAGGGAATTCTACTTGGAAACTATATTCTCGTACACAAAGAGCTATAATTTTAATATCGGTAAAAATAAAAGCAAACAAATTTGTTAAATGTGTACATATTTTTATGTACACATTTTTATGTGTACATTAATCGTGCAGGTATTAGTATAGTTTATATTTTTATAATACGTGACATTCATCGTGCAGTATTCGAACTCTATTGTCACGTTTAATCAGATAACTCACGTTCTCTTTGAATAACAAGTGTTGGAATCGCAAGTCACACACAAAAGGTGCACTGGCTTTTAAGAATAGTTTTCTGATTATTTAACGATATTTTGTTTATATTCAACTCTCTTAACTATTTCTTTTATTTGCTACCTTCTTGTTAAAAGAAGTACAAAATAGCGTATTGTGGATATCGTACAGAAAGGAAATGAGAAGAAAGTATCTTGCCATAGGTCAAGGTGAAAAATTAAAAAATGAGGCCACGGTCCGCGCGAGCATGAAATTATCTTCATTCGGCCAGTGGAGCTGTACGGACGCTATCTACAAATGTACACGTACGCACATATGTGCATACTTGAATTTATAAATAAACGAGCGTCACAGGAAGTTGCATGGTTGCACACCCGGACATAAATCTCTGGCGTTGCCGATTAATATCGTTTTTAATTGAGATGACTTAATAGCTCGCAAAAATCACAAACACTAAGCAACGACAATTTTATGTTTCTAGGCACTCTATTTTCAATGAGACATCTGGACTGCAGGTAATTTCATCTGGTTGGTTTTTTATGTGTACGTGTTATGCGAACAATAAAATTTTATCATTTATATTCTGTGTGTGCTCTTTCTTTCTATAAACAGTAATTTTCTAATTTTATATTTAATATTTAATTTATATTCCGTGTGTATTTTTTTAATATTAACATTCCATATTAATATTCTTTTTTTTACTCAAATAATACAAGATAAGTATCCGACGCTAATAAAATGTCATAATAAATCATCAATGCAATGTTTACATTAAGAATTTTCGATGAAATTATTGTGATAATGGTTTTTTTTCAATAAATTATTGAGGTAATAGTTTTTTAACTAACAATTAGTACCGGGAGCACGATAAATGTATATTTTGTGTTGTTGAGTTTTTTCCTAGACGATCGCACGATTCCTCAATGCCCACGTGAAACGCAACGTCAGCAGTCACTGACGGCAGACCTCTCGTCTTCGGCATTAAAAATCATGAACATCGTTTATACATCGTTGCGTTATCGAATTTTGTTGAGTTTGCTAATCTCGCAATTATCCTGAAATTTCCGCGCACCGTCAGCTATTTCTAGTTAAATGCGCGACGTTGTTGTTACGTAACTATTTTTTTTTTTTTGTAATGAATTCAACTGTTGATGTTGATATATGTGCAACATATAATTTCTCTCAAACAATCTTCCTCGCTTGATAATCAACGCTACGGAATTAGCTCGGACTCATTTGCATGAGTTACGCCATGCATCTGATTGCAAGCATTATAAAGAAAAAAAAAATTATCTATTGGAAATCGCTGAAAATGAGAGAGACAAAACAAAAGCGTTATCATGCATCGAATTTATAATTGTTTTCAATCACGACGAATACTAATCATACAATTGCTGACGCGTACGCGTCGTTTCTTGTACGCACGCGTGTTAGTTACACAAAGCGAGAGTTTTGAACGGTTTTGGAATTATACACTTTGTAATAAAAAAAATTATTTATATGAAAAAATAGGTTATTGTAACACTGATAATGTTATTCAACGCTTACGTACAATAACGTTAATTAATCTCGACATAATTAAAAACTGTGAAATAATTTCTACATTGTCATAATAATCATAAATCCAAGATTATTTGATTTGCAAATGAGAAGAGAGGAGAGAAATATTTCCTCGAACGTTACTCACTTTCGAATGGATAACCAAAGAAGCTCGCTCGGGCTTCGGCAAACGATCCTAGAACACTGACAAAAACAAACAGCGCGAAGATCCTAATATCCATCTTTCGGATTAATCGTCGATCAATTCGAAAAAAGAATAAAAAGCGAACAAAAAAAAATATTAATGTGGTTATTAATTTTTTGTATCACCACAGCGCGCACGTAAAGAAACCGAATAAATCTGATGTCGCAGATCGCGAGAGAATGACTGGCTCGGTTGATGCCGCGATCATCTTTATATAGTATTCGCTTGTACCGGCGTCTCGTTACCTCCTGACACTCTCACGATAACGTGTTCGTGAAAACTGAAAGAAATTCTACGTCATACACACTGATCTCACACAATCGATAACATTTGCGTGCTTAATCTGAGCGTTCACACGCGCAGACAATTCACATTTAAAAGTTCAGAAATTATTGCTCGCAAGTATGCAAAAATTGTTCTTTAAATACTTTTGGATAATACAACAGAACTACTATTTTTTTTTTCCAAGCAATAAAATGTCAGTTTTTTAAAATTTATATTTTGAAAAAGTTTTTAAAACAAACAAGTGAAATAATTTTTGAAAATGTTTACATATAATCGCGCGGAAGAAAATAATATTTTTTACAAATTATTGTTTTTGTAATTAAGGTACGTCTTGTTTAATCTGTGAGAGATTCTAAATTACTATATGTAACGAGCACAATTGGTCGGACGTTTGTACGTTTCTTCCATAACAACGTTGTTGCGTTCGAACAATTCAATCTGTCTTGTTTATTCCGCACGCCTTAATGGAATAGAATAGCTCAGAGACCTTGACAATGATCTCTCGCTCCGCCGAAGTCGCTTGCGATTATGTACAACGTGCAGTCCGAATTTTTGTTACATTATTTTTATTTGGGAATACTACATGATTTCAATGCTGTAACTTATATTGCAAAGCGATAACCCTGCGATAATAACAGACGTTAGTGGAAAATAATCGCGGAAGTGATTTTCTCGTAGTCGACGCGCGAGACACATGCGAACGAACAGAACGAGATCACGGAAGAGAATTTTCAAAGCTCATAGCTTGTGCAAAGCGACAAAGAGAAATCAAAATTATCGTGAAAAACGATGTAAAAATCTAGAAGTTATACCATATCTCCAATATTCAATTGAGAAAAAATGTCGAAAGATGCGTTTACGCGTAACGTTTTAATCTGACAATTTATCTCTCTTTACACAGCAAAACTTCAATGTTGAGCCGTGCAATATACGTTCGTGATATATCGGTGAACATTATCGTTTAGTTTTAACGATCGACATTTCACACAATATCATTATTAATGTGACAACTTGCGCGTAATCGTGTATAAATTGTTTATAAATTGTTTATAAATTGTTTATAAATGGCTCACACGGACGATTCCCGACCGGTTTTCACATCCTGTTTAGATTGTTAATCGATCCGGGATGATCGCAATTATTTACTTTACTCGGAGCCCCTTAAAGCGCACGTTCGAGGACGTATTTTCCGATCAATCGATATCGTATAGTATAATTCTACAAACAATTGATTATCGGATAATGTGTACTTTGAAAATTAGTACCTTTGTCTGTTACATGAAAACGAACTTCAATGCCGTGTTATTCGAACAAAATACGACCGGGCCAAGTAAAATGTCATATACGCGCTAAGTGAATCGCTTTTGTAAATCATGTTTATCGCTCACTTATCTACTTTGATACGACGTGACTTTTAGGAAAACGCGTATTTTCTCAGAACACATTTAATTCAGATAAGAAAACTTCCATTTAAAAAAGAAAAACATAAAAAATCAATGTAATGAAAGCGTAGAGAAAATTTCCACTAACGTCAATTCTAAAAAGTACTCGATCACTCACGATGGCTTTATCTGCGCGCCTGACCAGACACGCCATTTTCAATGCGCACAAATTCCGTGGCGCTCAAAAATATTTTTGCCGTTCCGAGATTTCCCACCTTACCGGATAAATTTTGTTCCTGTCACAAATAATCATCTGACACTGTTGTCCGGGAAATACCCATTTGAAACTTGATTATCTTTTGCGCAATAATCTGACAGTCTTCTTCTCTCGTCTGTCTTCCTTGCTGTCTCTATTGTTCTCGAAAAAGAAATGCCACCAACAAAGCAAAATCGCGATCACCACGACCGAGTGCGGATGCACAAGTTTGAGTGTAATTCCAATTTAATTTCTCAAAATTTTAAGCACAAACTCTCTTATGAACAAAAGTAACTAATAATCAAAACATACGGTAAACATACGCACATTGCGTTCGCATTATTCGCAAGAAGCGTGAGTTTTGTTGTGCGCGCGAACGTTTCGTAACAGATTTACTACGCTTCCTGGTACATATTATTTTTCGAGATATGCTTATTTTCTCGCGGAGCGGTTAAAAAACAATGGTTGAACATTCCTTTTGTCTTTGTCAGAAGTCATTTAAATGTTTTTCGAGTAATATTTTTCCGATGTGATTTCACTTTCTGAATCATTGGTAGATAATATACTTGCAGTTGAAATGCATTATCTGATATTTATAAGCTGCATTAATGAAAAATGGAGTTCCGGTTGGATCAGTTTATATACCAGCAAATTGCAGCTCTTATATATATATTCCGCGAGATCTATTCGCAACTTATAAATATTATAAGAAAAAATCCCTTGCATGTTTTACCTAGATAACAAGTGACAAAATGATTGTTTTATGTCTAACTTTATCTACATATTAGATATAGTTAGACATAAGGCGAGCATCTTCATCGCTTGTCTACGTGAAACATGCAATGGCTTCGCCCTTATGATGTATATAAGTCGAATAGACGTGGAGTAAATCGGTAAAAGCTGCAGTTTGCTCAAGTCCACACACTTCAGTCGTGAATCTCGAGGAACTTCAAGTGCAACCATGAAACGGCTTCTTCTGGTAGTTATTCTGACAGTGCTTGCCATCGAAGCGACATGTAAGTACTGATACTTTTCCCGTATATTTTATTATCGACCGCGTTTCTTTTCAGACAAATTATTGTAAAATCATATTCACATTATTTATTGTCTCGATACAGTAAAGTAAGGTCTGTACTTATTTATTTGCAAAGTTGTTATTTAATATGTCAGCACAATGTTGAACACAAAAGAAAGAGAAAGAGAGAGAGAGAAGGAGAGAAAAAGTGTGAAAAAAATAGCAAAAGTACTATTATATAAAGTTCTGTTAAATATAACAGGAAAAATCTTCTTTTGTTTAAAAAAGAAATATCTAAGACTCATTCTTTTTAATAATTTATATCGCGAATTTGTACTTCTGCATCTTCATTGTGAAACGACAAAACCGATGCGACATAATCGGAGCTCTTTTCTCAGTTGTATTAAATAATTGCTCGTTAACTCTCCACTGAACCCATCTTTATATGTTCGTGTCCGCGAAAAATTAATGCAAAACATATTATAACATATTAAAACATAATGTAACATGTAAGTTTTTCTTAGCATTGGAATACTGATGATTAAGCGAAGTATCTAATGTTTCATTCAGGTAACGAGGAATTGAACAATAATCTGACAACATCAAATAATACATCAAATAATACTACTGAAGACAAACAGGTACAGAAAGGATTTTTTGTACCGCTATTTTTTTTGATGATCTTCAAGGCTATAGAAGCATTAGTGGAGGGAGAATAGTAGAACTAAAAAGCAACAGTAGAATGATATGAGGTTTTCATTGGAAGTACGCACCAGATGTGAATATTTTAATTGTGAATAATATTAATAAAATATATATATATATATCTATTTGAACAATACATAATAAATAGAAATATGTTTTATTATTTTAGACCTGAGACTACGTACGAAGTAAAAGATGGACCAACTATATCAAGAAATTACTAGCGACAACTTGTATGACAAAATGCAGAAACATGTCACTTCTGCAATTTCTGCGACGACTATCCCTGAGGATCTTGCACCAATTAATAATAAAAAAGAAGAATCTGTGAAGAAACTTGCAGAGAAACCTGTAGAGAAATCTGTGAAAAAAAAAGATAGCAACGAGTACTGCGGGACTAACGAGAGCGTGCCAATCAAGAATAATGATAAGAAATGAAAAATTATTTCGAAGCTTCCGACAGAGAGAGAGGAGAGATCCTCATAGCATAATATAGACAAGAGAAAATATGTATGCAAAATAGTAAGCGCAATATGAACACAATTGTTTATATACAAATAAACATAGGTTATTGTAACATTCAGATTATTATTAACGTTTATGTATATATAAATATGAATAACATTAAATAATTAATGAATAACATTAATTGATCTGGATGTGTATTTAAAAACTATGAAATAATTGTATATTACTATTGTATGTTAATTCATAATTACAAGATTATTTGATTTGCGAATGAAAAAAAGAGAGATTTTTTTTAACATTACTCACTTTCAAATGGATAATCAAAGAAGCTCGCACGAGCTTCGGCAAACGATCCCAGAACACCGACGAAAACAAGCAGCGCGAAGATTCTAATGTCCATCTTTCGAATTAATCCTCGATCAATCGAAAGAGGAATTAAACGCGAACAAAGAAAACTCTTAATTATGCTTGTTAGTTTTTTGTATCACCACAATGCGCGCGTAAAGACACCGTATAAATCTGATGTCGCAGATCGCGAGAGAATGACTGACTCGGTTGATGCCGCGATCATTTATATAGTATTCGCTTTATATAGTATTCGCTGTACCGGCGTCTCGTTACTTCCCGGCACTCTCACGATAACGTTTTCGCGAAAACTGAAAGAAATTCTATACATCGTACTCATCAATGATCTCACACAATCGATAATATTTACGCGCTTAATCTGAGCGTTCACACACGAAGAACATTTAAAATATAAAAAAATATACTTAAAAGCGACAATTCGGGAATTACTGCTCAAAAGTATGCAAAAATTGTACTTTAAATAGTTTTGGATAACACAATAAAATGTATTATTTTTTTACACAAGTACCAAGACTTTAATTTTGTTTACCTTATATTTCGAAAAATAAGTTTTAGGACAAACAAATAAAAGAATTTTTTTTAATGTTTAAATCGCAGAAGAAAATAATATTTGTTGCTAATTAGATTATTTTGTAAGTAAAGTATAACTTCTTGACTATAAGTGACAGATTGTAAATTGTTACACAGTAAAAAAAGAAAATATTAATTCTAACATTTTTTGCATGTCCCAGAAGGTCCACTCTAAATTTTAAGTTAAAATAACTCATTCGTTGTGAGTCACTTATTGACAAACTAGTGAAGTCAAATAATTGACACAATAACTTTACATTTATATTTCTTATTTTGACTGTATATAAGCGTGATGTAAAAATAACATATAAAATAATTAAAAACTACACAAAACAGTAGTTACAGTAACTCGTAGGAAATATTAATAAAACGTTTTAGTTTGTACAATGTGACCAAAACTTGTTTTTAACTTTTTTTAGTATGTTAAATTGACTTTGAGACATCTAGATTAATTGAAATCATTGTGTTAGAAGCACTTAAACAATATTCCATTTTTAAATGACATGCAAAAAATGTTAATTTGTGAAGTTAACATACATTTAACACGCGTGAAAAGGTTAAAAAAATAATAACATATCAGTATTACGTTAATTTTACATTCAAGTAATAATGAAAACGTCGTAACACAAGAAACGTTCTACATTTTGACGCACGATTTTTTACTGTGTATGTATAACAAGCACAATTGATTGGGCGGCACGTTTTAAAGTCTCTTCCGTAACAACGTTGTTGCGTTCGAACAATTCAATCTGCCTTGTTTATTCCGCACGCTTTAATGGAATAGAAAAGACCTTGGCAATGATCTCTCGCTCCGCCAAAGTCGCTTGTACAACCTGCTATCCTAATTGTTGTTACATTATTTTTATTCGGAAATACCACATGATGCCATTTACAGCCTGTAACTTACAGTGCAAAGTGATAATATAATCCTGCGATACTAATAGACGTTAGTGGAAAATAATCACATTCGGACAGAACGAGATCGCGGAAGAGAGTTTTCAAAGCTCTTAGATTGTGCAAAGCGACAAAAAAAAATCAAAATTGAAAAATGATATAAAAATCTAGATAATGAGTTATATCATATCTCCAATATTTAATTAAAGAAAAAAAGTTGAAAGATGCGTTTACGCGTGACGTTTTAATCTGACAATTTATCTCTCTCTACACAGCAAAACTTCAATGTTAAACCGTGCGATGTAAGTTCGTGATATCGGTGAGGCATTATCGATTATTTTCAACGATCGATATTTCACGCAGTATCATTATTAAAGTGACAACACTTGCGCATAATTTTTACAAATAATAATGGCTCATACGCGAGAGACGGTTCCCGACCGGTTTTCACATCCTGTTTAGATTGTTAATCGATCCGGGATAATCGCAATTATTTACTTTACTCGGAGCCCCTTAAAGCGCACGGTCGAGAACGTATTTTCCGATCAATCGTATGGTATAATTCTACAAACGATTGATTATCGGGTAGTGCGGCTATGAAAATTAGTACCTTTGTCTCTCTGTTACATGGAAACAAACTTCTGTGTCGTGTCATACGAACAAATTATGGCCGGCGTAAGTGTCATAGGCGCGAGCATCACTCTTGATCATCATGTTTATCGTTCACTTATCGGTTTTAATGCGACTTTCAAGAAAACTCGTATGTTTTTAGAAAAATTTCTATTTAGATAAAAAAAACTCCATTCAGATAAAATTAAAAAAAAAACAGTGCGGTGAAAGCGCAAAAAGAATTTTCATTAACGTCAATTGTAAACAAATGCTAAATCACTTGCGATAACTTTATCTCCTCTAGCCGGACGCACCTTTTTCAATGCGATCTATCACATTCCGAGACATCCAAAAATTGTTTTGCCGTTTAAAGGCGAGCCAACCTTGCCGGATAGATTTTTTTGTTCTGTCTCAAATGATCATCTGACGCGGCTGTCCGGGAAATACCCATGTGAAACTTGATTATCTTTTGCGCAATAATCTGACAGTCTTCTTCTTTCGTCTGTCTTCCTTGCTGTCCCTATTGTTCTCGAAAGTTAAACGCCGCGGTCCACCAACAAAGCAAAATCACGATCACCACGGTGGACGCACAGCATGAATATGATTCGAATTAAATTTCTCTTTTAACACAAACCCTCTTTTATGAACATAAGTAACATATGATCAGAACATAGATAAACATACGCACATCGCGTTCGCATTATTCACAAGAAGCGCGAGTTTTGAGCGCGAACGTTTCGCAAGATTTTTTTTTATCCTATGTTTCTTGGTACATATGATTTTTCGAGGTATGCTTGTTCTCTCGCGAGGCGATTAAAATATCGATTGAACATTCCTTTTGCCTTTGTCAAAAGTCTTTGTCTTTTAAATACGCTTCAAACAATATATCCTTCAGACATGATTTCTCTTAATGCTTCCTGAATCATTAGCAGATAATAATTGAAGTTGAAATGATAATACTTGAAGACGAAATAACTAACGAATACTTTTTTATAAGCTGCATTAACTGAAAATAGAGTTCTGTGTGTGAATCAGTTTATACAACATAAAAAAAGCTCGTTTTGTGTCAAAACTTTTATCGTACGCGTAGATAAAGGGTGCGTTCACTTTGGACGCTTACGCGCTTTAAGCGTCAGTCTGTCTTTATTGTTGTTTAAATATAGTACAAAGATAGACTGACGCTCAAAGCACGTAAGCGTCCAAAGTGAACGCGCCCAAAGTTAAACATAAATCGAGCATTATCATCATCGCCCGTATTTATCGTAAGTAACGTGCAAGGGCTTCTCCCTTATAATGTATATAAGTCAAATAGATTTCGTGGAGTGAGTCAGTAAGAGCCGCAATTTGTTCAAGTTCACACCTTTCTCGAGGAACCTCAAGTGCAACCATGAAGTGGATTCTTCTGTTAGGTCTGACAGTGCTTGCCATCGGAGCGACATGTAAGATATTTTACTTCTCTCATTTTATGTACAATGTTTTTTATGACAAATTATTCTAAAATCGCATTCACATTATTCATCGTGTTGATACACTGAAGTGGGGTAAACTGAAAAAAACTATTTAATATGTCAGCACACAATGTTGTACAAAAGAAAGAGAGAGAGAGAGAGAGTAGAATAGCAAAAGTATTATTATATCGAATAACGTATTTGTTCAATGAATGAGTATTATGAATCACGCAACTAACACTATAAACGTGCAGTACGTATATTTTGATGAACCGCAGATGAACAGATCCGCTGACAGATAATTAATAATCAATTGCACACGAGAGAATATTAGTTTTCTTGATTTATACGACCATATTGATAAATCGGAATATCGCTATAATATCTTCACGGCTAATATTCCTGTCAAAGAACATCACAAGCGGGAATACCTTTAATCATTTGCCCGGTTTCTTCGTCGTATTAAAAGTATGAATAATATCTGCTATACGTACATGTATATTTTTATATCTGTGTGTGTGTGTGTATATATATATATATATATATCAGATAAGAATCGGCACATAACTCCAAGAATTATATAAAGTTCCGGTGAATATGAGAGGAAAAATCTTCTTTTGTAAAAAAAAAAAATTATCTAAAACTCACTTGTTAATAATTTATATCGCGAATTTGTACTTCTGCATCTTCATCGTGAAACGACAAAACCGATGCAACATAATCGGAGCTCTTTTCTCAGTTGTATTAAATAATTGCTCTTTAACTCTCCACTGAACTTATTCTCTTCATATATTCGTATCCTCGAAAAATGCAAACATATTATAACGTGCATGTAAGTTTTCTTCAACATTGAAATTCTGATGACTTGAGCAAAGCATTGTTTCATTTAGGTGGAGCACCGTTTCCTAACATTGAAACCGAAAAGATGCAAAACAATGTTAAACGATCTCGTCGTTCCTCTGCTCCAATCGTGATAACTAATAGCTTACCTAATCCTTTTATGGATTTGGTAATGGATACCCTAATTAAATTGGATGAACTGTACAGTGCTCTGAATTCTACATGGACACCCGACCAAAGTGAGTTTTTTGTGTAAATAATAATATTGAAATACACATCTTTTTTTTAAATAATACATGATAAATAGGAATATGTTTTATTGATTTCAGAAGTAGTACCTTTGAGAATAGAAACCTTTTTAGAAATAAAAGTAAACAAAGATGCAGTAGATCAATTTTTTAAGAACATTAAAGTGCTGACTAACGTGGGCAAACGCTGGCCCAAACATGTGGAACATGTCCCTTTTGCTGAAGGTGAGAAGGAATCTGAGAAACTTCTAGAGATAATCGTGGAGAAAGATAGCTCCGATAACACTGAGAGTGTGTCGATCAAAGATAATGATAAAGATAATGTTGACACGTTATTAAAAGAGGAAACGTCAGAAAATGCGCGTTCTAGTGGGCTTCTGAACCTTTTTGGTTTTCGTTCATAGACGTGAAACAGTACAAAACAAACGAAGAGTCAGCGTCATTCCATGTACAACGGAAGCCGCAAGCTACGGATCAACCAGGAAGCAACTAACCACGCAATAACGCACAATCGAACGTTAATAAACAAATCGGCTCAAAAGAACGATGAGGCTGTTTGTCTCGCAATTATAAAGTTTGTAATCTGAATTTTTTTACACAATACTTGTTCTATTTCTATATAATTTTGTGAGTGTAAACACAATAAAAAAACTTTTATACTTTTACGCATAATTATTGTAAATCCTATATTGTCTCCGACACAAAAGAACGTCAGACTTTTCTCTCAATTAAATCTGCGTTGCATATTTAAATATTTGAAAAACTTTTCAGACTTGGATATCGTTTAAGTCAGTTTCTTTCTGTACTAAAATATCTAATATCACACATATGGCTTAATCCGTTCTCATTGTTTTGACGTCATCAAAACTTTGGGATTTCAGAAGGTCATTGATTTGAGCGTCGTTGAAAAAAACCAAGTATCGTTTTAAATTATCGCTCTATTTGCTCGAAGAGAGTTAACCAGTTCGTTTCTCTTCGATGACACATATTGCATATCTATGCAATTATTCTACTTTTAATAGAATTTAAAAGTAGATTTATTTATTAATCTTCGACAATCTATCGAGCTTAATTGCAAAAATTTCTCTCTCGTGATTTGCGTCATCGCGCGATTCACCTAAGAAGAATTACGTGAACGAACGCGTCCTGCATTTTAACAATCGTCGTAAGGTCACGCATAGTTATTGAAAAAGGGCAGAGCGTTGATGCCGCCGAGTCAGAGCGTCTTCAGACATGGCGAAGAGCATAGATAGCATCCTCCTACTAACATTCGTGTTGTTTGCACAGGCAGGTGAGAGAAGTGCCTCTGGAATCTGAAAACGAACAAGTGCCACGCGCGCATATCTCGGGTATCGATGACCTCGGCAAGAGACGATTTTACGCTACGACGCGAGTGCGTTGTTCACATTCCGAGTGCCAGTAGTAATTTCTTTTCGAATTTGTTGAGCATACAGCGGCAGTGCTTCGTCGTAACTACGAAAAAAAGTTTTGTGCGCAGTTTCTTTGCGTTTGTAAAACGTACAGAAACTATCGCTGAGATAAAAAATCTTACGATTTCTAACAATGTTGTAAAAAAGACGGACTTGTTAAAATTTTTATACACGTATATACACACGCACGCAATTTTAAAATACTGTCTTTCAATCTAGTTGTTTCTTCTCGCGCGCGACAAGTGTACAAGCGATTTGGTAAAATTAGCGAAAATGCGCTCCTTTTTCACTTTCTTGTTTCATAGAAACTTCATTAAAAAAAAAAAAAAAAACTGCTTTTCATTGAACAGAAGAGTTAAACTTCGAACGATGGAATACGCCACCTGAACTAACGCCGGAGTCGGTCGTCAAGACGTCAGGTGACGAGAAATCCCAGACACGTCTCTTTTCTCTCGTCCCAGTCGCGGCAACTGTCAGTTTGAATGCGGGACACAACAATGCGCACTCCGTCAGCTTGGGCGCGAGTTTGGACGGGATCAGTCTTTCGGGAAGTAACAGTTACATTCGTCCTGCTGGAAATGACGGGTACATGTAACACGAAATATTTCGAAATTTGCTTCTGAAATATACAAAATAGAAACGAAGATTACAACAAACAAAGCTTAAAAAAAAAAAAACTGTATTAAAATCTTCAGAAGTAATCGAAAAGCGCGCATGCTTATGGGAACTTTTGTTTTATCTTGATATTTTTTTTTTTTCATTCAAAAGAAACATAGATCGCAAAAGATGGTATTTTTCAGATCTTCCGGAAGCCAATCGGCGACCATTTCTGCGGGATTGTCGGGAATTTCTGCCGCGGGCGCGGAAGCTCACAACAATGGTAACAACGTCAAATCCGAAAGTCATTCGCTCGGCTTCGGTCAAGCGACCGCGACTTCTTTCGGAACGATCGAAAATGGACAAGCGATTACCGGCGCGGCGTCTTCCGTTGGCGCTTCGCAATCCGTTGCCGCGAGTGGTGGCAATCGAGGACAGTCCTTCTCGAAAGCCGTCGGTGTGCAATATCAAAATCGACCAGTGTGGAACAATGTCGGTCCGAATTACTGGCGCAACGGTACAACTGGCTGTTTGTTTTATTAAAACTGTTGAGAATTTATATTAAAAAAATGTATATATTATTGCAAATTTGTTTATGTTTATACAAGTTTACGCATTTATTTGTTCTATATATTTTCTATATATTTAGATCGACCTACCTTGATGATTTCAAAGCCGTACGACGGAACGTGGCCGCAATTGCACGTCGGTGTAACAAACAGACGAGAACAAAAGCCAACAGTTCACATCTACAAATGGCACCCCAACCGCGGTTTACCTACCCGGCCAGGTTTATCGATCGAACAGCAAATACATAATTCCTGGAACGACCGAAGTCACGGATCAACAGGACTTCAAATTGGAGTCGGTTCTAGTTCGTCTCCTCACAGGTATTCGAGCGATGATTCAGCTTCTCGAATCAACGGAGGTCCTTTGAATATTGCTTTCTCGTCGAGTGGTCGAGTATACACTTCGGGAGGTGCTCGAGGCCGTGCTCAAAGTTGGAGAAGTTTTGAACGCCCTTCTGAAGGTTTCTCGGCCGAAGATCGTTCCGAAGGTACGTCGATCTCCGACTACAAAGATGAAAATTCCGTAGCGCGGGTCAATGCTCAGACCAGCGGGAATGCTCACGAAATTGCGTTGTCCGTTGGAGAATCTTTTGTCAGACTCCCCGATGAGAATGCGCGGACTATCCCATTGCATCATGTCAAAAGCAACGATTCTAAACGGAAACAATTTGATAGCGACGTACTCTCCGATCTCGCGCAAACCGTTGGCGAATTACTCGACATCGTGTAAGAGAATTAAAAAAAAAAACCAAGAAAAATAATTGCAATGTCTACACATTTTTAAAAGTTTTATTTATCATAGATATTCTCGTAGTTGTAATTAAAGTAAATGAAAATGTTTTAAGAGAAAATATTTGACTAAAAGAGAAATATTTGCTTGGAACGATCTAACTCGCAAACGAGATGTGTGACGATTCTCTTCGACAAATAAAATATTTCATATATTTCGTTAAAAGTGCGCGATTATTTACGTGTGTCACTAAAATTGTTCGTCGATTTGCATATCGCACTTTGCGAAGTCTGACTCAGAACATAAATGAATACACAGTAGAACAATGACTGTAACCGCACCAATTGAGCCATGATAATAATTATCACGCGCGCGCAGTTCGCGTAATTTATTATTTCTCCTCTTACTTCAAAATCCTACGTACTTCACTGCGTTTCCAGGAAACCGATCGCGAGAAGATAAGTTGCAATGTGCAAGATGCAAACTGCGCTCGATGAAAGGTTAAAAGGGTTAAATAAAATTAACAAAGCGTTAGATTACACGAGAAATTAATTAAAAATTTCATGTCTTTATGTTATACGTATCTCTTTCCTTTTGACTGTAATAATTTTGCAGAAAATTTTTGAAGTACAATAGAAAATTGTTACTATTGTTATTTACAAGAATCATAACGCAATTTTTATCAATATTTTTATATTGTTATAAAATCGCATAAACAAGCAAAACTGTTATTTATCAAATTTTATGATATAAAAATTACTTGTTTATTTAAAAAATAAATAACTATTAAATAAACTTGTGTAAATAAGTTAAATTCGCATTTTTTTAAACTCGAACTTTACTTTTACGCACAAATTAAAATAACAATTGTCATAAATTCTTGTTCGTGTGATAGTCACGTTACTTTATTTCAGTTCTGTGAAGTAGGTGATGGTCAGCTTTGTGAAGAATCTCAAGGTCAAGACGTGATCTTGGACTCAATGCGACATCTTTGAAACAGCTGTAGCGGTTTGAAGAACTCAGAAGATTCCAAGTCTGCTTTATCGGCAACATTAATAATTTTCAGAAATATCAGCGTATGGTATGTGAAGAATCATGTGTGCAAAACAAACATAAAAATAAAGTGACATTATTTATTGTTAATTCTTTTATTTAAAAAAAATGAAATTTCTTCTCTACTTCTTTCGAAAAAAACTAATAATATTTATCTCTCTCAGAGAGATTAGGTATTTTTTTTATTGTTGGTAAGACATTTAAAACATTTACACACACAGTGACAGTTTTTTTTTTTTTTTAATAAATACCTCGTACCAAATGTATCTCTTATCTCTAGCTTTCCAGAACGTATGTCTTAGCTACTTAAAAGGAATTAATATCTGAATTTATGTTTGTTTTCATAGCTCACACGTAATAAAATATACTGCTCTGTGTGTGCTTCTTACTTTTACAGATACTAATGACAGAAATTTATCACATAAGCAAAACTTGATTTTTCCGCGCTTGCAATTTCTTGGAAAGACGATGCTTGTTTATGAATTTGCGATTAAAGAGAATAAAAATAAAAATACATATTTGCATCATTTACTTGATAAAACAAATCGATAAAACTAATTAAAAAAGTGAAGTTTTTACACGCGTTCCATATAAATTCTCGTAAAAAAAAAATCTATAAAGCTAGTAGTTTTTTGATTGTTTTTTCGACTCTCTGCGAAATACATAAAATTGACTGTCAAAAAAATTCGGCGCGCTTAGATCAGAGCCATCGGTGAAAGTATAATCGAGTCTATCTGGACGTCTGTGATGAAATACATGCATGCTCGTCGATGCGATTCAAGGTCTCGCCACTGACTCACCAATCGTCTCACGAGTCAGTTTGACTCACAAAAAAGTTGCGGCGAAAAATGATTACTGTGAAACCGGTCGGATATTATCCGCGGTATTCGATTACTCGCAGTCCGCAATTAACGCGGCGGATGAACCGTGGTTTGTTTTTAAAAAGAAGGAGGCAACACACGAGCACGAGGCTATCATATCGGTAAATTTTTATTTGATAAAACTCGGGCCGGTTAATAACACTATGACATAATGGCGAACGTAATACGGCTGAAACTCTACGTAATCGATCGGATTTTTTTAAATTAATTTATACAACGTTATCAATCAACGACGACCCTGTAATGACTAAGCACAGCTGATAATCAAGAAAATCCCCGTGGCATTTTTAACAAAATTAATTTTATGAGCTGTAAGATAATTGTCCGTGTGTGCGAACACACGAGCAACCGCGCGCGCGTAATACGTACGTCATTTAACTTCTTCTTCCGCTACTTGGAAAGCTGATCAAACATTACTTTATTCAAATATTGATATTTGAGTAAAGTTCGAAATGTGAAGAACACGATTGAGAAATTATTTAGTATTTCAGCAAGTTTTACTGAGTGCGCCGGTAATTAGATATTTGTGTTTTTAATCAAGCATGTTTGAGAAGACGATTTTAGTGGTTTACAAATAATCACTCAACTGTCTGAAATTTTTTGAACACGAAATAACAATTAATTTTATTTGCAGATGTAATCAATAAACGCGTAAAAATTTTTACATTCACAACAACGTTGAAAAATATAAACACTTGGAGGTTAAAAAATATTTCTCAATTGCTTCTTGAATCAAGTGAATCGTCGATATCAGCTCGTATCGTGAGAACAATTTGCAAAAAAAAAAAAAAACAATCCACACGCATATAATGTTATTCCCTAATTCGTTCGAAGTAATTTCGTTTCCAGGATTCGCGCTCATTACTTACGGTGAGCAGCAATTATGTAAATTCGTAGATGCCACTCACAGACGTAAAAAATAACTATGATCGTAATCGTCAGGTGGCTTAATTTATTTATTTTTCTATGTTGGCCGCTCTCTCGAATTGATGGTAGCCATAAATTTTAATTATAATGGCAACGCACTCATTTCTTATTTTTGTTTAAGTTTTAATTATCTATGACAACGCACACACACAAGTATCGACTTAATGTGTGTTTGCCAAACCGTTGCGCGAAATTTGATCCGATAATTATCAGGCAGTTTTTTTTTTTTTTTCGAATTATTGTCTGTTATATTTTCAAAGAGATTTCTATCGCGACTCTTTGTCGTCGAAGTGATTCTATTAAGTCTGAACTCGATCTGTTTCGATCGGCCAAGGCTAAAACAAATTCCGCATTCTTTTATTGTAGTCAACAGGAAGATTGTGTTTCGTTGGCGGTTCTCTCGTGCGGTTTTACTTACGCACAGTTCTAAACCGACCATCGCATGTTCTCGGTAACAATAGCCACAAGTAATTATAAAAGATGTTCAGAAAATCGAATCTGCCAGTTACGGCATTTTTCTCGGTAAACCGAATTATTTTCTTTGCGTGAAACATCTCACAATGATGTAAAAGGAGAATGTTGTTGAGAAAAATATTTAATTGATAGAAAGCACACACACGAAATCAAGAAACTTGCCACAAGGTCAGCGAAACTTTTTTTTACGATATACGCAAAGCTGTTATTATTTAATTGTTATTTGTTTACTTTTACAGTTTTATTTTTATTTTTTTACAGTGCACGCAAAAAGTTACGTGCGTCAAACCGTGTGATAACACGCGTTTATTCGTCACCGATAGAATATTGGCAATGGAAAAATAAAGAAAATTGATAGACATGTGTGAAACTGACCGGTAGAAAATCACGCGGTTTAATTACAACGCGTGTTGAGAAGAAAACAGGAAATATTATAATTTACATGTATAATTTGAAACGTGATTCTAAAACGCAATCGCGGAGCTAATCAGCGTTGGAATTAACATGCGTATTTCATTGTAATGAACAAAATAATTGTGAACGATCAGCGCCGAGCTCTATATACGCGATACAATTAAGGGCGATTATCAGAGAGCAAATGCATGCAATGCAAATAGATTATACGGATGTAAAACGCGCACACACACGGATAAAGAATATATTTTTTATAATACGTAAAACATTTTTTTATAATTTACACATATACGGAGATACCACGCGCACAGAGATGTGGCAGACACGTCAGTCTCGTCAATAATTAGTGATAGATATATGGTCAGGTTGGAAAATCCTGGCAAGTATCAGTTTAATGAATGTTTAATGTACGGAGACTGTTTAATCGTAATACCTGGATACCGCAGAATCTCATTCCATTATTAGACGAAGTGACGTTGCGACGATTACCGACGAGAACTATATCTGCATCGTCAGAAAATGTTTACGTTATAAATCCAACTCTTTTTGTTTTTAATTATTAAGTAATAAAACTAATGGACAAGAAAAATGCATTAACAAATAATTAAATATATTAACAATTAAAGATTATTAATTATGATAAAATTATTTATTAATTAATTAAATAAAATTTGAATATACAATATGATGGGATGAGTAGAGAATTTAAGTTTCCGTGCATTTATTTCGCACAGAACGTCGTTCGGCAAAAGGTATTCTCTACCGGTTCGTGCGATTTCTTGGTAGTTGTGTGTGTCTATTAAGAGAGTCGTATATTAGATTTTTAGTAGTTCCTTAATAGATTCTCGTTCCTTCAAGTTTTCATCGTTTCCTCGTGATCTAACAGCGCCTTGGGCGCAATAGAAAATGGTTAATTGCCAGTGTTATTAACTTTTATAATGCCTTTTATAATCTCCCGCTAGTAATTTTTTGTTCTTATTAAAATTTAATTTATTTCTTTGATGAGAGAGAGAGAGAGAGAGAAAGAAAGAAATACAAAAAAGTAAACCTGTATTGTTTCTTTTTGTTTTCAAAACGTGTAAAAAGAGGAAGAACATTAAATAACATTAAAAACTTTATCATATAAAAGTTTGTGTGTTTATAAAATATTCAGTGATGCAATGATGATGAATGTGTTCCTGGCCTTTCGTATTTTTTAAAAACAAAGAAAATGGTGAAAAGCCGAAAGAGTCGTAGCTCTTGTTGCGCAAATGTTTTCTTTATTTCTTAATTATTAAATTAGTATCAAATTAGACCTCCTGGTCGGTAATCCACTGGTGCTGGTGGTAAAAAACAAACTTCAATATCTTCTTAATTATTGTTTATTCGCTTCTTTATGTCAGAATCTTACATATAATTTTTTATTATTTCAAAAACATTTTTTAAACGAGATGTACTTAAAGAAGATATTGACTGTGATAATGATTTTATTGACCTTGTCATCAGTGACATACGATCACAACATCATCATTAGTACGTAGGAATTTTGCATGCACTTAAATATTAAACAGTCTTGCTTTACACCTTTGTTTTTATCAATACACATTATACTTTTTGTGCCTTAAAAAAAAGTGTTTTAGAACACACACGCACATGCGCGCGTGTTGACGGGTATTCCCTCGGAAAATCCAAAAATGAGCATTGCCGTGATCGCGGAGCGGAGCGAAACGCGCGGCGGAAAACGACATGGAGGTGGTGGCTTCGCGTTACATAATTACATCAGGATCAAACGTATGCCGGATCGATGTCTATAAAAGCGGCGAGATTAAAGAATCAGCATGCAGTGCATCCTGGCAACATCGAACGTCCTCACGATGGCCGTTCAAGCTCTCGGTATAGTGCTCTTGTTTTCATTCGTGGCGGTTCTTTCCGGATTGCCCGCCACTACCAAAGGTGAGACAAACGCTAGACAATTCGTCGAATAAAACATATTTTAAAAAATCATTAAATATATTACAATATTATTGTAAACAGATTTGATTTTTGTTTTATTTTTCAATCTGTCGAGATTTTTTTGTTTATATTTATTTATTTAAACGTTTTATTTACTAACTTTTATGCAAAAATGACTGACAGTGATATGTGCAACAGACTTTTATCACATCTCGAATACGAACAAATTGTGATTTTTTTATATCCACACACAGAAAAACTGCTTGAAAAGATAACAGCAACAAAAAAAATACACTCTGATAACTTTTGCAGATAACATTTCAGATCACGAAAATTCGCAGAATTATTAGTTTGCATTTCGCAAGTGTTTGTAAATAATGATTCTAGAACAAAATAATACATATTTGTGACAGATTCTCACACAGTTTATTATATTTTATTATTATTTTGTAGAAAAATGTATACGTATATACTTTCTCTCACATACGATATTTGCGGTGATAAGTTCTGTGATCACATAGTTGGCAAGCACATGATCTCAAGTGTGTACTTTAAAAACCAATTGTGCAAGATTTATGCTTGTATGTAACGCGCAAGTTGTTTGTGTTCGAAAATAACAGTGATGTCAAGACGCATGCTGACTGAAACAAGTCTATGCGGAGTTTAATTGGAAATTCCTTAAGCCTTCTCGTTAATTTTCTTAGATTTTTTTCTCACATATATAATGATCAATTCTTGTTTTTTTTTTTTTTTTTTTTTTTTTTATGTAATCGTTATCAGATCCGACTGAAAACACGTACGAGGAACACACACTATCGACTGAACTGCAACCACCGCCTTTAGAAGAGAAGGAGCATCATGCCACGGTCTACATAATTAATTTGTATGCCGTGAAGAACAGCAGCGGTAAAACATCAGAGGAAATGTTTGAAAATGATGTCATCGAAGCTGTACCTGAAATATTAGGTGAGTGTTAATCAGCGAACAAAACCGTTTCGTCGGGATTTTTTTTAACGATAAATTCTCAGCGTGACTTTGACCGGTTCGCATGGTTAAATGTAATATATCTCGAAAGAAAGTGACGAGCACAAGGAAATTCCTCGAAGAAACTTCAAATCAGAGATATATTCTTGCAGAACCTCTCGCCACTGTTCTCCTAGTGGTGGAAGATGATGATGAAGTCGAAGAGAAAGAACAACATTCACCCGTCGACCTCGACAAATTTGCGGAGGGATTGGAGAGCGAAGGTTTCAAGGTCGACAAGATCGATCTGAACAGCGAGACAAAAATGCTCAAGATGAAATTGGAAAAGAAGAAGTTGCAAAATATGGTGGAAACGGCTTTAAAATCGGGCGAGGAAAGAATCGTACAGAAAGATCGTAAGAAGAGGACCATCTGTCTCAAGTGCGGCGGAGGAGGTGGTGGATACGGCGGAGGATACGGGGGTGGGTATCCGAGCAGTTGCCCCAGATGTGGAGGAGGAGGAGGAGGATATTATCCTTCTGGAGGTGGTGGTGGAGGTGAGTGGCGGTTAGGGAAGGACATGTAGTTATAACTAATTAATGAACTTACGTGCAGAATGTCTCGAGAAACCAAATCTTTGGCTTCAAGTTTCAATACTTCTTGCTAAAAAGTTGAATGAAACGGTATTAAACATAATGTATATTATAAGTTAAATTTCTTACATATGAAAAAAAGATTAACTAATTGTAAGTGTAAAAAAATGCTAATCGAATTGAGAAGTTAACTAATGACAAAGGTGCTTTAATTAAGAAAAATTAACGAAAAGATTTTGCTAGCTAAGCCGTCCCCGATAACTAATATATAACGTCATATTGCAGCTTAAAAATTTACAACAATTAAAAATAACACTAACAACAAAAATAATAATTTAATTAATTATATACTAATAATTTGATTAATTATATATACTAATTATACGCTATAATTGCTACAATCCTGTAACAGCGCTTTAAAAAGAGCTTAACGCTTTGTTTAGGATACCAAACGGCAGTTATACCGGTTGTAGTCGTACCTATTTCAGGCGGCGGTCATAGGGGAGGAGGAGGTCACAGAGGAGGCGGTGGATATTATCCACCTAGCGGCGGCGGCGGCGGCTGCAACACCTGCGGGTACTACATAATTATATTATTTTTATAAGAAAAAACATATAACATGTATCATACAATTATTATTCAAAAAAAGTTAGTTTGACAAAGTCAGTCTTATAGAGTTTTTTAAATTTCATATTTCAATCTTTTTCATATTTTTTTATTTACGTAGGAATTGGGTATTACATTTGCTCACTTTACAATAAATATTTTTTAACTGGCTTTTAGTTGTAAAATCGATTTCATTGTATTTTACTAACTTGTCTCGTCACAATTCTTTGTTGTTTCAGCGGAGGTGGAGGCGGCAACAGCGGATCGTATTCTCAAGCGTCCGCATCGGCTCAGTCTTCTTCCGGAAGTTGGTCAGTATTTTACATCCGGTCGTGATTGCATTACCGATCGTTCTCGCGCAGATGTGCGGTTGATTAAAACGCTACTTGTTGTTGTTTTTTCTTTTCAGGGGAAAGAAATGAGCGTGTTCAATTGCGTAAACTCGTTGCCATTGATGATCTATATGCTGCCTTCATCCTTAATATAGTAAAAAGAAGAAGCACGTCGAATAAACATCGTAAAAACATAAGAAACACCGCAAATAACAAGACATTATGATGACGGTTCGAAAATATTTGTAACATTATGTATGCATTTTTATAATCGTTCGTTTGTACAACCACACACTTGTATTGGCGCATCGCGAATAAATAACAAAACAGGTTTGGCTTTAACAGAAATACAAACGACTCGCTATATTATTCGGAAAGCGACTTCCTGGAAATGACTCTGAGATTTGTGATTAAGTTCTTCTTTTATGGACCGCCGGCGGAAGAGGCGATATATACGGCGCGGCGTATCCGCACTCGACGAGACGTATTACTCTTCGCGTGTATTTAATAGTTCGTTAATTTCTACGCTTCTCAATAAACCTGCATTTACGATAAATAATGGGACAATCCATTATCGCACATCAGTTTTTTTTTTTTTTTTTTTTTTTTTTAATAATTTGCATATCCGCATGAAGTCGACAAGTTTCCTGGGAGGAAGACCTTCACGCCCCGGAGAAGGCTTTTGATTCTCTCTCGCGCTAATCTCTTTTCTCTTTTATTATTATTTGCGCAACACACTTTTCTCGCGCGCGCGCGCGGCGTCAGAAGCAAACTCGCGCGGCGCGTTTCTATATTAGCGCCGATGAATCTAGGCGCCACGACCTTAACCGGCATCTCTATAAATACACATACACGAGCAGTACTTGTGCGAGAGCAACGGATTCCGCGGAACGACTTTCAGCAATGCGCTGCACCGATCGACCGACTGCCCGTAACAGCGAGTAGAAGCAGAAATTACGGCGCGAGTTAAGTGAACGTAACGGTAAAGTTACCGATTTTTTTCTTCTTTTGTTTTTTTCGTCGTCTTTCCGTGTTGGGAAGATCGAGAGAAAGAGAGAACCGATGCGGAACGTATCCGCCGAAACATGAAACCCAAGTCCAACACACACGATCGGTATAGCGCGGGTTTTATCGAACAGATAGATTCGTCGGACTACAAATCGAACGTGTTGCATTCGGACGATTCCATCAGTCTTATCAACGTGATTAACTTCCGAAAACAAAAATATCACGTTTTAAGCATGGGATGGAAAGAGAGAGAGAGAGAGAGACAAATGTAAGGAGCGTGTAATTTATTTCATGTCGATTAAAGTGGCCGATTCGCTGATCATTTGCTACGTGCGTCAGCAACTTGTAATTTTTTCTCCGTAAATTTCACGGTCGTAACTACACAGTTGCGAATTACGTCTTGCATTCTTTAGGATTTCCTTTATCTTATGCACGATTAACTATTTTTAGTTCTTCAAGATTCCACGAAAGGAGAAGCTATTAGTGAAATTGGGGTCTGCCGCAAGAAATAATTAAGCTCGAGTAAAACAAGAAAAAATCAACAATAAAAACCAGAACACAAAAATGAACAGGAAAAAACAAGGAGAGAAAGAAACAAAAACACCTAATTAATCCTTTGTTATTAGATTATCTTTTACGCGCGCGATTCGAAAGGAAATTTTAAATCTTTGCAATCGAAAATGTGAAAACTGTATTTTATTACCTAAATCAACTTAAAACAAAGATATATGCACAAAACAATGCGCTGCATTATTTTCTCTCTTTCGATGTTCGTAATCAAGTTGCTTAATACAAACGTTTCGCACATCGATCGAAAATGTGGGTCTGCGGGTCGTCGAATGTTCGTTGACTCCGATCAATCGCAAAGGCAGGACAATCCGTCGCGGAATCTTCTTTCCTCTTCTTCTCCGCAAAGCAGAGTCGCGCGTATTTTCTGGTCGTTGACCGCCGGCGAAGTTGCGGCTAACTCCGCGACCACCACGGCGATCGTTTCGCTTCCCAGGGAAAAACTGGGCGAGCCAGAGCGCGTCGTAAAAACTCACTCACTCGGACAGGTGAAATAATCGTACCTCTTCGTTGCCTCTGTCGGACTTCTCGGAGCGACTCTCCGGCTGCGCCAGAAATTCGCACGTGCGCGCCGGTTTTACCTACGGGTACTATCTTTGTCGGGAACTATACCGGAGAGATGAAAACACACACACGTACGAGAGAGAGAGAGAGAGAGAGAGAGAGAGAGAGAGAGAAGGAAAGAGAGGAACCGAAACAATAAGATAAACCGCGTAAACTTTTTAACGATCGCGCCTTTGTAATAAGATTAGAGTGCGGTTACAATTAACGAGACTCATGCCACTTCGTTTTACACATCCGTTGCATTAAACCATAAATCACATCGTTCGCGACAGGTTAATAACAGTTTTCCAACGCCAACTTAATACACTAATTCCACGAGATTGACAAGAAAGACATTCTAAGTGGATACGCGCGACCGCGGCCAATTAATTGTTCGCACGTATTGTATTGTGTCAACGAACGACAAGACGTCGAGCGATAAAAAGATCGTCAAGATAAATCTAACTCGCGTGAAAATCGCGCGCGCGCGCAATTAAAACGCAGTGATCTCGGAATAACGTGGCAATCTCCATCCGATCACGCAGAAATCTTCGAGCAAAATTCGCGTGTGCCTCACAATGAAACGTGAATGAGATACTTGATCGATAACAATTAAATGTCAGCCCTTTCATCAAGGTACTAACGTTAGAGAGAGAGAGAGAAAGAGAAAGAGAGCGAATACGTATCTGACGCATCAATCATTTGTCTTATAGCACGCGACCTAATCTACTGTTTCGTTATTCCACTTTTTACGACGATTAAAGTAACAGCTTTACTGCAAATTACGCTGGTTAGGGTGAACGGACTGCGTCCCAGATATTACACACATCCGATACAGATGCAGAGAGAGCAAGTCGTCGTCTCGTACTCGCGCGAAGCAAGACGGTCGTGTGGTATAGTATATAATATTTGCTATTAACCTTTGCGCGCTCGCGCATGTTGAATTATCCTCGACTCTTTTGGCTTTAAATCCGGCGTAGTAATTAATGAAATTTTTAGCTTAATGACTCTTTTTTAGATGCAGTTGTTACATTAAGTGAAAGATTAAATGTTCTCAACGAGAAGATGAAAGTATGTCGTTGCAAGTAGAAATGAACTCTGTGAATTTAACATCACAATCTGTCAAAAAAAAAAAAAAAAAA